AGCTTGGACCTGATGATCTTTGGAGGTCCCTTTCCACCTGGGTTGCTACGATTCTAGGATTATAGGAGGTTCCTCAATGTTTTAAGCAGTATGTGGATGACTTGCTAGGTGCTGTCTCAGGTTGCACTGTGGCCTTCTGTACTTGGAAAAATTGTTCTCTTGTCTAGCTTCGATGCAAGGCTACTTCTGTGGTCAGACAGTGAAGCAGTGCATTTAATTCTGCCACTCTGGAGAGGTTGCTGCTGTGACTGCTTGTGGTGCTGGGAACAAGAGTAGTACGTAGGGGAGGACATGAAATTCCCACCTCAAAACCTTGTCCAGTCACAGCTTCAGCTTCTCCCTGAGTGCTTCCTACCTTGCTGCATAGTCACAGAATCTTTAAGGCTGGAAAAGACCACTAAGATCACCTAGTCCAACCACCATCCCATCCCCACCATGCCCACTGCCCACGTCCCTCAGTGCCACATCCACACGGTCCTCCAACACCTCCAGAGACGGTGACTGCACCACCTCCTTGGGCAGCCTGTGCCACAGCATCACTGCTCTCTCTGAGAAGAAATTCTTCCTAATGTCCAGCCTGAACATGCCCTGGTGCAACTGGAGGCCATTCCCTATCATTGTTACCTGTGAGCAGAGGCCGACCCCCACCTCACCAAACGTCCTTTCATGCAGCTGTAGAGAGCGATCAGGTCTCCCCTGAGCCTCCTCTTGAGGCTCCTCCAGACTGAACAATCACAGCTCCCTCAGCTGCTCCCATAAGACTCGTGCTCCAGATCCCTCACAGCTTCATTGCCCTTCTCTGGTCGCACTCCAGGGTCTCGCTGTCGTCTTTGTAGTGAGGGCCCAAAACTGAGCACAGCACTAGAGATGCAGCCTCACCAGAGCTGAGTACAGAGGGACGATCACCTCCGCATCTCACAGAGGGCATTCCTTGGGGAGGTAGAAGCTGCTCTCCTTTTTCCTGTGTATGCTTGAGCACTTTGGGGGCAGTCCTTTGGTGCAGGGCTGGGAGGAAAGCACTGCTTGCTCCCAGTGCATGTGCATTGTGGGGGGCACAGCAGCAGTCTCTGGAGCAGAGGCTGACTGAGCATGGGGTCAAAAGCCAGTGCTGGAGGTCTCAGAGAGTAACGCTGGGGTTCCCTTAAAATAGAAGCATTCAAATGTCTTCTCACAATGGTTTGCCATTAGCAAAGGAGAGGTGCTGCTCTGTTACATGGCCCGCTGTGGTTTTGCAGTGCTTCCCCTTGAAGAGCCATTTCTGCCTTTGCCTGTGGTTGCTTTGCTCGTATGGGCAGTCGACCTTTTGCTACATCCTCCAAAGCATGCTTTTGGCTTTCAGCTCTTGGGTATTTTGTTTTTCCTCTGAGTTTGTTTTTACTGCTTGAAATGTTGTGAGGGTGCAGAGAGTGTTTTGCAGTTTTACAGTCCAGCTGATGCAGCCAAGAGAGACTGACTGGTAATGGGGCTGCTCTCTTGGCACAGTTTTTCCTGCCCTTTTGCCCACAGGTTCACAAAGACTTTGATCTGAACTGGGTTACCTGCCTGTTGGTCACAGCTGAACTAGGCTATGTGCTGGCCTCTAAGTGACAGCCCCAGTCTCAGAGCAAACATCGTGTCACATTCACTGCCACATGCAGCTGTGGTGGTAGCCAGTAGAAGTGGGACAGATACCAGGAATGAAGGAGAGCTCTGATGCTCTGCTTAGTGTGGGGCACACAGCAGGAGCCATACGGTGTGGTGTCAAAGTCAGCATCCACAGAAAGCACCACAAAAACATGTACTGGGTGGGCCCTGGTGGGTCTTCTGTGCTCCGAATCATGGTATCATAGAATGGCTAGGATGGGAAGGGACCTCAGAAACCATCCAGTCCCTCTGTTGCAGGTAGGGTTGCCAACCACTAAATCAGGCACTGGATCAGATTGCTCAGGGCTCCATCCAACCTGACCTTAAACACTTCCAGGGATGGAGCATCCACAGCTTCTTTGGGTCAACTAGTCCAGCACTTTACCAGCCTCTCAGAGAAAAACTTTCCTTTGACATCTGATATAAATCTCCTCTCTTTTAGTTTAAATGCATCCCCCCTTGTTCCATCACTATCTCCCTACGCAAAAAGCTGATTTCCCTTCTGTTATAAGCTCCATTTAAATATTGGAAGACCATAATGAGGTCTGCCCTCAGCCTTCTCTTCTCCAGACTGAACAAGCCCAGCTGCCTCATCCTGTTTTCGTAGGAGAGGTTCTCCAGTCCTCTGGTCATCTTTTGTGGTCCTCCTCTGGACCCCCTCCAAAAGCTCCACAGTTTTCTTGTGCTGGAGGCCCAAACCTGGATGCAGTACTCCATCCAGCTGGGGCCTCGCAAGGGCAGAGAGGAGAGAGACAGTCCCCTCCCTCATCCTGCCAGCCACCCCTCTTTTGACACAGCCCAAGGTACTGTTGGCCTGGGCCATAAATGCATACTGCTGGCTCATGTTAAGGTTTTCATCTACCAGGACTCCCAAGTCCTTCTCATAGGGCTGTTCTCAGTGAGTTCTTCTCCCAGTCTGTATACATATCTGGGATTCGTTTGACCTAAGTGCATTTGGCCTTGCAGAACCTCATTAAGTCCATATGAGCCCATCTTTTGAGGGACATCTTTTGATGTCCCTTTGGATGGTGTCCCTTTAGATGGCATCCCTTCCTTCTACTGTATCAGCTACACCACTCAGCTTAGTGTCATCTGCAAACTTGCAGAGGGTGCACTTGATCCCATTGTCTGTGTCACTGATAAAGATGCTAAAGAGTTCTGGTCCTAAGGCCCCTGGGGGACATCACTTGTCACCTGCAAGATCTGGAAACTGAAAACCTATTCACCTGCCATTGGTGATGTCCAAATCTTACATCTGCAGCACTCCAAGAAGGACTCGTTTATAATGATAGAGGCTCAGGGCTGGCAGCGTGGAGTGGATGCAGTAGCAGCTGCCAGCCTGCAGTGAGACTTGCCCACTTGCTGCGCAAATGCCAGAGGACTTCCTCCATGCTCAGATAAGGGAGAAGTGAAGTCCTTGCTGGCTCTCTAGCCATGCAGAGCCCTGGAGTCCAAACACAGCCATGCATCATTACACGCATTGAGGGCGATCTCATTTTCAAACATAGGTTTGGGACCCCCATTGTTCTAACTAACAATAGAAAAGCAACTTCAAAAGAGAACCAGCTCCCTAGCAAGCAAATGAAGGATTGCCCAGCATCCCCCCTTAGTCACTGCAAGTCCCTGGTAAAGCTCTCTCTGTGCATCTTCAGAAGATGGACAAAAGCACTGACATCCTGGCAGTGCAGCCCTGTGGTATCCTGTGGTCAGCTGCTAAGTTAAGTGTGTTTGTTTACATGAAAGCACTGGTGACTAAGCTTGCAGTGTTCTGAAATTGGTGCTGAAGTGACCTTGAGGCCATGCTGGAGGCTCTGCTGCTAGGTAGATCAGTCCAGGAGGGAGCAGAACATAAAAGCATGCAGCTCAGGCTTCCTGTTGGGGGAGTGGATGAGAGGGTTGAAATGCTGAAGAACTGTAACTGTCTGATTTCTTTCAATGAGACATTAGCTAAGTTCAGGAGGAAGTGAAAGTGAAATGCAGTCAGGAGCTGGCAATTTAGGACATGTATTAGAGCAATTGCTTCTGATAAAGAAGAATCATGCCCTGGTGCTCCTAGGTGCATCAAGGGTTTGTGTTGAACAGAGGACTGTGCAGTGCTGGCTGCAGTGGCTTCTCCAAAGGCCTGTTGCCGTCAGTCTGGACCTTTGAATGTCACCAGGTTAAAAATACACTGGGTACAGAAAGCCCCGTAAATGCTTCTTTTGTCACCACAGAGGAATGGCACAGCAGCAGCGATCCAGGCTTCAGCTGCTCTGCTGGATGAGTACTGCTGGACAGTCAATGAACATACAGGTGATATAGTATATTTGAGAGCTTGGCTTATGTGATTATTATACTAGAGCAGAAAAGGACACTCACCCTATCCTGGGCTCATGTAGGAAACTCCGGTGGAATGAATCTCCAGAAGAGATCCTTCCCTCCTGGCAGTCAGCTCATAAATGGGTCTAGGAGAGGTGCAGCCAGGCTCCAGCCCTTCCTCGCCTTCACCTGTTCTCCTCTGGCTGACGCAGTGCTCGCCTCAGGTGATCAATCAGAGGTTCAGGCCGTGATTCAGCAGCCCCATACAACTGCTCACACACCGCTTAGGGCTGCTGCCCAAAGAAATACCCTCATCCTGCAGCTCCATGCATGTTTTCCCTCACCACTGCCCACCAGTCTTTAAGGAGAGATGTTGCATACGAAAGGGAAGGCACTTGGGAAGATCACCAGAGCCCACGCTATCACATAATTTAAGATTGAAGCTAAACATTTCTGAGCTCTGCCAAAGTTGGAGCAGCTTTGGAGCCTCGGTTTCCCGTGTAACTTTATGAGGTGTTTCCTGGCCAGAGAGTGCCCTCTGGTGTAGACAGCAGATGGCAAAGGCTTTAGTTTAGTGAAGAAACTCTGCTTGGCTTCTCCCTTTTCTTAATGTTCAGCAGCCAGCATGATTATTGCTCGAAGGCTGCCACATGGTCCTAAAGCACCAAGAGGGTGAGTCCAGACCTTATGTCTTCCACATCTGCAAACCAAGCCAGCCAAGGCCTCCATTTAGGAGTAGCAGTGGGAGCCGTTTTACTGTACTGTAGTTGTAGCTGTGCTTTGTGGAACTGAAAACAGAATGCAGATGCAAAGCATAAACACAAAAGTTGTAGTAAATATAAATGTATATATATACACGTTTCCCATGCATAGAGTCTCTTCTTGGAAAACTGTCATCTTGTCTCTGCTAGGACATTCTGGAGGTGGAGGCTGTGCTCCAGCTGTGGGACTTCTGTGTTCTGATGTCCTTGCTGTGGGTCACTTCTCAGTTATCACTTCTCAGCGCCCAATTTTTGCTCACTTTTTCTCCTTGCTCTCTGTTGACCTTTTCCTTCTGCTTTTGTTTTTTTTTTACTTAGGTCGGAAGCTGAGAGGAAAAGCCTTTTATTTCGTCAATGGAAAGGTGTTCTGTGAGGAAGATTTCCTGGTAAGCACACAGCTGACCCTTGTGCCCCCACCATGTCTCAGCCTCTGCACGAGACGCACAGCCTTTCTCCTTGGTGGCTCTGTCTGTGTTTTGCGCAGCTCCTGCACAGCCTGGCCATTCTGACAGACTGCTCACTGACAGACCAGACTGAGCAAATTGGCCAGCTCTGAGACATGGTGGCTGCCCACATGTGGTACTCAAGTAGCTGAGTGGAAGGCCATGGTGTCACAGTGCAGAACCTATAGCAGAGCTGGAGCTTCTTGGGATGGCATCTTCAGAGTGTGTCTTTGTTACCATTCCTAGGAGATAGGAGCAAGATGAATGGCTGCAGAAGAATGAATGAGGGAATTTCCTTTCCCAATGAACTACTTTTGCTTGGCATCCTAATGTATATCCTTCTATTAGCCTCAGTGGCTTTGTGTGAATGTATTTAAGTGTGAACCAATTCCGTGGCCCAAGGCTGGTAGAGATAAGCATGACTGCAGCGATATTACAGAGAATACAAAAAACCATAGCCCCTCACCTCACCCCCAAGACCTTGTAGATTAAACCATCATTGAGATTTGAAAAAGTCATATTTGCCCACTTACTGGAGGAGTGTGGTGATTTCTATCAGAGAGAAGTAAATTGATCGTCTTTTCTCTCACCAGTATATTCTGCGCAGGCAGAAAATGGAACCATTGGTTAAATGCATCTAAAGTATTCAGTTTTTCCAGTTTGCCATTCAGAAAGTCTGAAACCTAAGACAGATAATGTGTAGTGCATGAGTTTTTTGTTGGGGGATGACAGTCGGTTCCTTATATTTAGCTTTAATAGACCTAGAAAGGTGTAACTCAAAGTAGAATTTGACAAATGTTGTGATAGGAGCATGTGATAAGTACAGTTAAGCTCCTGGTTTGTAGATTCCTGTGGTCAAATAAAGAATTAAGTTTTACAAGTAAATGACTTATTTGGATCTGCATTTATAGTATTTGCTTATATCCTAAAATAAACTTAGGACTTGAAGGTTACAGGACCATGTATTCCTTCTGAACACTGCAAATCTGGTGTCTTAATAGAATATTCCCTCCACAGCTTCATATACTGAAAACAAAAAACAATAGTGGAAAGTTTAGTTTGTGTAAGGAGCACAGGAAAAGGCCAAGCAAATAATGCCCTACAGTGTTCTGTTGCTTATGCTCTACTAGCCTTGTGAAATGTTAAGCCACTTCTTTTTTGTCCTTGCAGTACTCTGGTTTCCAGCAGTCAGCTGACAGGTGTTTCATTTGTGGTCATTTGATAATGGACATGGTAAGTGATTATTGCCTTAGGTAAAAAATCCCACAGCTCTTTAGAAGAATGTAGCAACAGCAAAACGTTTTGATAACTGGTACTGGGTGTTGTCCTTTGCTGGTCTGCCTAGTGAGAGGTGGGCAGCAGAAAGAAAATCTGCTAAGCTTTTGTTGGCTTTTGCAGGGAAGCGAAGCCGGCATCCTGCTGCATGTGATGTAAGGACTTCGCTCTCCCTGTTTTCAGTGCAAATTGAAAATGGTGCCTTCAGGTGCACAGGTTTATTTTCATAATCCTGTGCAGAAAGGAGAGGCTCTGCAGTGCTCCCTTGCTGTGGGGCATCAGCCGTGCTCTGCTGAGCCTGTCTGTCTGACAGTCAATTCTGTGTGCCATGTATAGTGAGTTTCATGTACCTTGAGGATGAAGCTGCTGCCTTGTCACAGCTTCACATGTGTGATGGAAGGCTCTGGACTGACTTTCTGGGGAGCCAGGGCGAGTGAAACAAGCTTCAGTTCCGATCTGTCCAGATCCTTGAAACCCACTGAATAGATGTGCACTCCCATCAGCCTGCAGCAGGTTGCCACCCATTCAGGATGTGCAGCCAGTAGGTGACATCTCAAGGCATCAGCTGGCCTTCAGCTGCACCAGGCAGCGTTTGGCTGTGGGTGATGGGGAGGGAGACAAATGCATGAGCTGATGGTGTAAAACTAAAGCTGCAGCAAAGAAATGAAGACCTTCAGGGTGATCATGGCACTCCTCCCAAGCCTTTCTGATACCTGTTGTTAATTATCTTTGCTTGCCTGCTTACACTCAAAAGCATTAAAATTGGAAAAGCTGTTTTATGTAGCGGTTTGAGTTCAACATGGTTTTTGTAGTCTGTGTTAATTAGAAGGCCACACCAGTGAGTACGAAGGTCTAAATCTAAGGTGATAAAAAACCTAGCAATAGCAATCATCCCAGCCTCTCACAAAGAACATAGAGATGTGTTTCCTCTTTGGCCTGGTACATCTTAACTTGTGATTATACTAAGGATTCTCCGCCTGTTGGCTTCAGAAATGATTTTCTTCCCTTTAAATCTTGTCACTTTTATCCAGTAATGCTAACTTTCTTAACTGAGACTCCATGAATTGCTTTCTTATCCACGCTAACAATTCAGTTCTAGGCAATCCATACTGGTTCCAGCTGCCCTTTCTTTTCCTGTTAACTCATTTTTTAGAAGAGGTAAAAAAAACAACACAGCACTGCTGATGAACGTGCAGCAGTGTCTGATGCAAAGCTTTGAGTGTGTTATTTCACCTGTATTGACTGCTCATGTGTTTCTTTCTTGTCTCTTGGTCTGTTGCAGATCCTGCAGGCTCTGGGGAAATCGTATCATCCAGGCTGCTTCCGATGTGTGGTCTGCAACGAGTGTCTGGATGGTGTGCCATTCACTGTAGACACTGAAAACAAAATCTACTGTGTCCGAGATTACCACAAGTAAGGACAAAATAACATCAGAGGAGACATGATCAACAAGCCTCTCATTTAGCTTTTCACCTACTTAGGGACTACTGATCAGTGAAACAAATAGAGGATTAGAAGCCAGGAGTTTGGGAGTGGGGTTAGACTCTAGACTCTCCTGTTGCCCTGCTATTGGCTTCCTGTGTAACTGAGAAAGTCACTTAACTCCCAGGCTTAAGCTGCACCTTCTGCAAAGCAGAGAGTGTTTAGTGGTCTCTGAGGTGGGTGAGAAAGAGTGCTTGTGAAGCATTCTGTGATGTGAGACATTAGTCTGCTCTGAAGGAAGACTGTGAGGAGTCAACACGAGCTGCTTTGGAGTAACTGCAAAGCTGAGTTTCAAAGAATGTTTGTAGAAATCACCACTGAACATCCAAAGGGAACTTTATCAGCTTTAAATTAAATGGCTAATGAATCCACTTGAAAAATCACTTGTCATTTTGACAGTGAAACAGAAGAGCTCTGCTCTTAGCTAGTAGTTACGGGATTAGAGCAGCATACATTTTGAGTGCCTGCTTGGCTAACATGCTCCTGTTTTGTGAGCAGACAGATAATAAGTATTGCTCAAGCAGTCCCTGGAATTGTTTTATATTGTGCTTCGTGCGTCACTGTTGTTCTGAAATGATTCGTATTTCCTTGCAACTTCATTTACTTACTGTACAAGGCCTTGAGGAATCTAGCAGTCCCTTAGTGTTTTCTCTGAAATTTCCTGCTGTGGTACAAGGCAACTCATTCTTATTATATGCTTTTCTGAAGCCACTTCTGCTCGCTTTCTCCTCATTCTCTCTTCCAAATTTCTTAATAATAGCCAGGAATTTTACAGTGCTTTTGTTTTATTTGTTTTTTCTTTTACTGGCACTAAATGTAAAATCTTTTTTTACCTGACTAAGCAGCATGTGCCAAGCATTACTTATAATCAATCCTAATTGAATTTGTGATCTTGAGATGTTAAGCTTTCCTGTGGATAAGTTATTTACAGCTTTAGTGTTTTATCACCAACAACAGACAGGACTGTCTTTTTATGTTGATGTATAACTTGCCTTCAATTTCTTGTTCTTGCAGAGTTCTAGCTCCAAAGTGTGCAGCATGTGGGCTTCCCATTCTGCCGTCTGAGGTGAGAGCCTTTTATTATTTATCCCCTCTGGGGAGAAGGCATTATGTCTCAGGTCTTGCCCTCTTCCCTTCTCGACCCCATGTGAAGATGAGTGTCCCTGTGGACGTGGAGAGACAGTTGCTTCCACTGCAGTGCTGCCTTTTAAATGAAGCTCATACACTGTCCTTGAGATGTGACCTTTCCTTTGATAACACAGCTTATTCCCCTTGGGGCAGGCTACTTTATTACCTTCTGCACTATATACTGCTGTTAACATTGTGCACAGCTACCATTCCTTCACTTCAGAAGATGGGGTGGTGCTCGTGCTCGCCCTCTGGGACAAACTCATTGTCTTATTTGGAGGAGATGGGTCTTTGCCAAAGCCAGTTTAAAGTGCTGAGAAATGTGATATATTGAAGCTATCCAATCATCAGGGCATGTTTTAGGATAGATGTGACCTATAAGCAGAGAAAATTCTATGTTTCTGATGTTATGCTTTAGAAGATATCACCAGTGATAAAGCTTTAGTGTAAAAATAACTGTAGGTGGCAGGATTTATTTGTGATTTCCAACCAATGGCCAAAATGCATTTGTTCAACACTGATATTGTTACAGGAAGCAATCTGCAGAGTGCATGTGTCTAATCCTCCCGTAATCCTCTGTAATTTCTTCTCATTTGCTTACAGGGGTCTGATGAGACCATTCGGGTTGTGTCTATGGACAAGGATTACCACGTGGAGTGTTATCACTGTGAGGTAGGGCAGCAGCTTTCTAGGGGAGTAGAGGGTGCTTAAAAGTGGCAATAACTGTTATTTTTAAAATCTTCCTGTTTCCAGTGGCAGTGTATAAGCAATTCAGACCTTGCACTCTGAAATCTTTTAATATCAGTGGCTGACAGAGGTCCAAATGTCAGTTCACTTGCTATCCAGTTTATTTGTTAATGAAGGAAATGTAGTGAATCAGTAAGGTTCTCTTGCTGCTGTTTGAAAGCCCTGAGCTCCAGCTCACATTAGTGTATCTGGTTTCCAGGCCAGACTGTTCAGAAATACTAAGGTGATGAGTGATCCTGTCTGGTGTAAGTTATCTTCACTTATAAATGAAATGAATGGGCAGTCAGTAGTAAGGAGGGCTTTTATGGCTGCCACAAAAATCTCAAGAGAGGTGAGCTCTTAAATATTCATGTAGGACTTCCCAGAGAGCCTTCATACGTATGTAATGTGAATTAACATATGTACATGTCTTCTATCATTGTGCTCATAGTGCAGTGGAAAGGAAGACTGACTCTGCAGGTGAGTTTCACACCAGTACAACTGCAATTAATTTAATGCAAAGTGGTGAATCCTACCTGAGAGTGTAAGGAAACATGAGTACGTTTAAAACATGTAGGGATGCAACTCACCATGAGATAAAGCTTATGTAGTCAAACTAGTTAAGACCTATGTACACAAGGCTGCCCTTCAGAATGCCTATGTCAGATGTTTTCCTGCTCTTAACAAATACTGAACTTATTAGGAGGGAGCTGCTGGCGAGGAGCTCCTGTCCTTGTCACAACATTCTCCTGCAAGCCAGACCCCAGTTGACACTGGGAGATAAACACATAGTCTAATTAAATTTGCATGACCTCTCTCTGCAGGACTGTGGGATGGAACTGAATGACGAAGATGGGCATCGCTGTTACCCTCTGGATGACCATTTGCTTTGTCACTCCTGTCATCTGAAACACATAGAGAATGGCACAACCCCAGCAGCTGTGTACCAGCGTCACTACTAGCCGACGTGGCTGACAGCTGGGAGCCCCGGCAGACCATTTGTTGTGTGATCACCCCCTGCCTACCCACCGTTGATTTTCTGTGCATGTTTTTCTCCAGTCGGCAATTTTCCTGTGAAAGGATATGAGAGAGTATTGCTGGAGTCACAGAGTCTGTATGCATTTGAGTTCCAGCTGTACCAAACTCTGTCTACTTGATCAGGAATGTGGCATGTTGTCTGAACTGATTGGTTTACTCTTACGTGCCTTTTTCTGCTTCTTGGAGATTCCTTTGGGCTCATTTTAGAAGATTCTTCAGTGAAAGCACAACTTGCTATCAAGCCAATGAACTCAGATCATGCCATGCACAGTTAAAAAGCGGGAGGCTGGCTTGCCTGCCTGCTGGGAATGCTCCATCAGTCTGCTGAGTGATTCCTGACAAGAACATTTCATCACATTCTCCAGAGGACATCATATTATTAATACGAGGTTTTAGACACACTCTCTTAGTAATACTTTAGAAAATAAAGAAGTCTTTGCAAAATAGTGTGCTAAGACCTCCCAGTGCATCCCCTGAACTCTGGTATATCAAGTGTGGCTGTAAAAGCACCAACTCTCCAAGCACAGCCCAGGCGTGTTGGCTGTCAGTGGGAGACAATATCCCATTTTGAACAGAACAAGAAACTGGAACAAGCTGGGCTAAGCTACTGTGATGACTGGATACGAGCTGCTGTAGAATGTCACAGCAATATACAGGGACCCGTCTGCTTTGTCACAGTGCGAATAGAGGATTATGTTTGGAAAAATTGGGATGCTGGTAGCATGGATGTGAGGGAAATCCATCCCTGTTCTTGCTTACAGAGCTCACTTTGGAAAAGAAGTTCTCCACGTACAGATATTTGCCTGATGTTTTCATGGTTTGTCCCCACAGCTCAGCCCCAGCCTGGCCACTCCTCAGTGTTTACCCAGCACAAAGCCATTTTATAGTGGTGCTTATTTAGAGCTCTGGGAACAAGCTCAAGATCATTCTAAAGGCTTTGTTATAGTGGGATTTAGAGTCCAGCTCTACAACCTGTACTCGCATCAGTCCAGCCACTGGTATAAACAGATTTGCTCACACGAATAATGTCAGCTTATCTGAGTGAGGGACTGGGAGTTTGGCTCTTTTTTTCTATTCTGTTGAAAAAGCAAAGGCTGACAGTGGCACTGAGACTCTAGAAATGAGCTCTTGCTGAGAACTGGCTGTGGTTCAACCATACATCTTTTCCTATAGCACAAATGTAGCTAGACATTCACACCGTGTCATTGGAGCACCTTCAGTACTCAGCTGGAGTTGTACCTCTAGTGTTCAAAGTAGTCCTTCAGGGAAGCACAGCTGACTTGCCTTTTTAACTGTCAGGGGTAAAAGGCAAAAAAAGAGGGGTAAAACCTCTTTTTTCAACCACCACTGCAGGACAGAGGGCTCTGTCCTGTGAAGCCCTGACTGCAGGTTGCCTCACCTTCTCTCCACTCTGGCTCATGGACCTCAGGCCTGGACGCAGGGTTGTCCTTTACCCCTGCCATCATGGGACTTTTCTCCCCAACAATCAGCAGCTTGCCTTTTCCTCGCAGGCATCTCAGCAGCCCTTTTGCTGTTGTGTCTGCCAGTGCTGATAAATACTGTGCTTCTCCATTTGGAGTGGTGCAAGGTACTGTGCAAAGGATTAAACAGAAGTACGAGCATCTGCTTTAATGTGGAGACTGGTAGCCTGCTAGCACCTCCTACACGTCTGCTTCAGTTTATCTCCTCTAGGTTGAGGAGCTGGAAGATCTTGGTGTGGACTTGCCTGGGGCTGGCCTTCTGTCCCACCCGGCTGGGAGCATCTCTGCCCTTAGGGATGCTTCTTGGGATGCCAGCTGGGGGCAGCTGGGCTCTGTGGCTCCATTCCTCCAGGGGACTTACAGCCCTTCAGTGATGACTGAAAGCCCGTGGTGGATATGTCCCACTGCAGTGTGCAGAACAAGCCTTACCTGTGATTTTAGAAGAGGTAGAATTGATCTGAAATACATGAGCTCCCTACAGCCTTCAACTGGGCCTCCAAATGCTTGGATGCTGCTGTCTCTGAGGCCAGCTGCTTCACAGCTGATGCTTTGGCTAGCTCTTTGGTTTGGGAGCATGTTCTTAACACGTATTTTCTGACCTTCATTTTGGGAAGATCTGAAAACAATAGCAGGACTGATTTTTTTCTTTCTCTACAGTGGTTTAAAATTCTGTTTCACTCTTACAGCCTTTCCCATCCCCCTAAGATAAGCAGAAAGAAAGGAGAATTAGAGAAATAAAACATTTTCCTTTGCAGAAAGCCCCAGCCAGCAGTTTGCAGTGAGCTATCTCACAGCAGCCTCATGCAAAGCAGTGGAAAGTTTAGCTTCTGCTTTCACAGTGTCTGGTTACTTCTGACAGCCTCCCTCTGCTCCTCTGGACCGGGAGAATGCAGGCTGTCCTACTTTCAGGTTTGAGGTCCCATGTAAATTATTAAGTGTGAATGCTCACTTTTCATGTATTTACTAAGTGCTGGAAATGACAGTGTGAAGCTGTTGAAAACTGAGTGTCTGAGTTCATGGTTCTGAAGCTAAAGCATACACTGCACTGCTTTTGCTCACCTGTGCGCCTTAACTCGTTCTGCTTTTATGTGTGAGGATTTGAATTGGTTGGAGCTCTGTGTTATCCCTGCCTCCCGCCCAGTGTGGGGGAGTCGCAGCCAATGCCATGTCCCATTTGTCAGCAAGGTGAAGTGCTGGGCCAGGAGAAGTCCTTTCCACGTTTGACTTCAGAGATTCCGCTGGGCCTTCTATGGTCATTTTGGCGAGAAAATAAGGTCAGGGCATAACTGGGCCATTTGGAACAGTTCCAGTTTGCAGCTTCTTCTACAAAAGATGTGTGTTAAATTCTGCCTATCACCTGGCTTCTTCGCACTGGGGTTTGCTATTCACATGGATGTTGGCTTTATTTATTAAGAAATGTGCTAGTCTAGCTTTTAATTCCTACTACAGCTTGCACTTCAGACTTGTTTTAGGGGAAGGGATGCTTGGAAGTCCTATTGTCCTGGTAAGGGGTAGCCCAATAGTTATTCAGATGATTTCCCTGAAACTTGTTTTCAGGAGCCAGTGTTTAATAGATTTTTGTTTAGATCATGCTGTTAAATTTCTGTTGTTTGGAATCACAGAATATCCTGACTTGGAAGGGACCCACAAAGCGTATTGAATCCAACCCTTGGCTCACACGGGACCACCCAAAATCCAAACCCAGTGTCTGAGAGCATTGTCCAAAGGCTGCCTGAGCTCCAGCACTCAGGGCTGTGCCCACTGGCCCTGGGCAGGCTGCTCCATGCCCACCATCCTCTGTCGCTCACCCCCAGCTGCCTCTCCCCTGACACAGCTCCATGCCGTTCCCCTGGGCCCTGTCGCTGTCACAGAGAGAAGCAGTGGAGTCTCATCAGCAGTGCAGTGTTAGGGTAGAGGTGAAGCAGGTTAGTATGAGGGGTCTCTGTCCCTCAGGAGAAGAAAGTGTTTCCTGTTCTGATTATTAGCACCGGGCAAACATTTCATGTCCTTGGGTTTTAGCATTGGGTCTTTGGGGACCTCCGCCTGTCCCTTCCACAAGCTCCTGGCCTTGAAACATTACAGGTCCTTTTTTCATGTTTAGCCCTTCTGTATTTCCCTGGAATTTTTGCCTCTTTATTATTTCAGCAACAGTAAAACCAGATCTTTGCTTAAAGGGAATGCGAAACGCCTTCCATCCTTTAGGCAGGCTCTGCCTGCATCAGACTGCAGATGCAGTGTCCATGCAAACAGGAAACAAATCCTGGAATCACAGTAGTTAAAGTTGGAAAAGACCACTGCAATCATCTAGTCCAAGCTGTAACCCCTCCTCCCCGTGCCCATTAACCACGTCCCCCCAGTGCACATGCTGGAGCACATCTGTGCTGGAGCAGAGCTTGAGCAGTTTTGTTCCAGGCAAGGCATACCTGGGGATTCTTTGAAAGTACCAGCAAGCGGAGGGATGCACGGAGAAGGAAGGATGTGAAGGAAACACATGCAGCATGGCCATGCACCCTGAAAGCAAATCGGAGCCCGGCCAGTGGTACTTGTGCTCATTTTGTATGTTATGGCTTCTTGAAAGCGTGACATTGGGATAGAGTGTCCTGCTGGCATCACTAAGCACAGCCTCCGGCAGCACAGCTCTCTGTTCAGTGCCATTGGGTGTTTATTCAAAATGGAGGCCAGCAGCAGCGGCCTGACCCTTGTAGTTTCAGTGATTAAAGGCAATATGGTGAAGCAGCGCTCAGCGTGGTCTTTCCTAATGTCTGGTCTCTGACTGTGGGAGGGGGTGAGCCGTGAGGTGGGTGTCCCACCTGCAACCAGGGCTGGTGGGGGGGGGCAGCCCTGCCTGCCATGGGGAGACCTGGGGTTTGTTTGCAATGGGCAGCAGCAGGGATGCAGTGCTGCAATCCACAGGCTGCGTTTTCCTTCTGGCAGATGAGGGAAGGCTCACAGGGAGAGCCCTGCTCGAATGTCTCTTTCGCCCCACAGTCCCAGGCCCGTGGGGAAGCTTCTTCCATCGAGCAGGTGAAGGGATGGGGTTGAGGTGCCATAGGTGGTGGGGTGAGCTTTCGGCCTGAGGAGAGCTCCTGGAACAGCCCGTCAGCTCTGCGAGTTCGGAGGGGAGGCCGTAGGGGTGGCGGGCAGCACTCCTAGCTTGGACGGGGAAAAAATACGGGAGTGAAGAAAACGGGGGAAAAAAAAAACGACAACAAAACAGAAAAGAGCAGCCGAGCCAGCCAGGAGTCGAACCTAGAATCTTCTGATCCGTAGTCAGACGCGTTATCCATTGCGCCACTGGCCCTGCTCGTAAACCACCGTTGCCCAGCAGCAGTTCAGCATATTCTCCGCCCGCGCCGCGGTCCCACGGGGCGGGGCCATAGGCGGGGCCGCCGGCTGGAAGACAGCCGATTCCGCTGCCCCGTCCCGCCCCACCGAGTCTCCCTGGGGCGTAGCCGACCGCCCCACTCCGCTGCTGCCAATCCCTGCTCGTTTCCTTGGCACGCCCCCCTCTGCCCGGGGTGGCGTCACCGTTCCGCGACGCCCCGGCGGCTCGAGGAGCTCCGCGGGGGCGGGATTAGCGCGGGCGCTCGGCCAATGGCGGGGCCGGCCTCTCGGCCCGCGCCCTCCCGCCGCCTCCCATAGGGCGCGCCCGACCGCTTTCTTGCTCGAGGAGGTTTGTCCCGCGCGAGGCTCCGTCGCCGCAGGCCGGCGGGACGCGTCAGCCCGGCAGGCAGGCGGGGAGCGGCCGGCTGGCAGCGGAGCGGGACCGGCGGCGGCCGGAGGGCTACAGATGGCGGCGGCGGCGGCGGCGGGACCGGCGGCGGCGGCGTCCTACGCCAACCTGAAGCTGTGAGTAAGGGCCGGGGGGGGCAGGGAGCGGCTCCGCCACCTGCGTGAGGCGAGGGCGGGGCGGCGGGCGGCTCCCCTCGGCCCGCCCGGGAGGAGGGCGAACCTTTGAACTTTGCGGTCGCGGACCTTCGCTCGGTGCCGCGGTAGCGGTTACGTAACCGGGGCGATGCCGGCCGGGCGGCGCCGAGGCGCTCCCGCCGAGCGGCTGATAGCCGCGGGCCGGCGGCCGTGAGCGCTGCCTGCGGGCGGCCAGAAATGGCTGCGAGGTGCCCTTGTGAGCCCGAGGGCGCTGCCGGCCGCCTGAGCTCCGCGTGTGCTCTGCGAGCTCTGCGCTCAATGCAGCGCTGTCTGAGAGCGATTCTTAGGCCTGACCTTACGGTTCTATTTAATGGCCGTGTTTGGGATCAGGGCGTACGACTCCGTCCTTGGAGACCAGCGCACGCGGTCTGCCGTAATGCTGTTGTACGTACAGCAGTCTCTGGGCTTCTCCCCTTGTTGTGGTCCTCTCTGTGTGAGAATGCTGGAGGAGGCTGGTCTCCTGGGTGCAGAAGCCTCGATGCTGACTGAGAACGCTGCCGTGTGGCATGGAGCTCGCTGCTGCTCTTGTTGCTTAATGCTGCTTGACTTTCTTTGAGCTGAACTTGTGATCTTTTTGCCTGCGGAAGAGGGAAGGTGAGTTGTGTGAGCGGCTGCTGTGCATCCTGTGACACACAGACCTTCTTGGCAAGGCTTTTTTTTCTTGAAGTAAAAGCACTTGTCTGGATACGGCCTCGTAAGAAGTCTCTGGGAGGTCAGAGGGCACTGCACGGAGCCTGTGGGCTGTAGTGCGTGCTGCAGGGCCCTGCTGCAAGAGCCAGCTCTGAATGCAGGCCTCTTGCACACTGTGTTGTCACAAGCAGGGACAGGACACAAAGCCTTCATCTTCAGTCAGGTGCAAGCAATGCAGGTTAACATGTTGCTGTCAAGCTTCTCTGCTACCAGTGTAACTAGTTGAGTTGCAGCACTGGTTATCGAGCTGGTTAGTAGTGCTGCAGCACTACAGTAGTATACAGCTGGTGCTTTCTGCCTGTCTGCATTGAGAGAGAAGCCCAAAAGTGCATTTTTGTCTTTGGGGTTTTGTTTTCCTTGAGCTGAGCTTTCAGTACTTGGGTAATGCCTCTGTAAAGAACTGCTGCGTGCTCCCATTGCTTCGTCTGCCACGATGGAGCCCAGGGCTGTTGATGTAGAAGGGCAATGAGTTACGCAGTAAATTGTCATCTGAAATGAAATATAACTGGAAATAGTTATTAAGAGACTGTGCCTTTAATATGTCACAATTCTTTTTAAAAGATATTTCTGTTGGTTTGGTGGTGGTTTTTCATAAAATCCTGGGATTGTACTCTATTTTTTTTTCTTTTTTCCCCAGCAATTATTTCTCCATGGGAAATGCTCCAGTTCTTGCTCTGTCTGTGCTTGAGGAGTAATATTTATTGTAGGTGTATAATTAGAACACCTGCTCACCTAGAAAATCTGGAATCTCTGGAGTGCTGCAACCATCAGTATGTTAGCACTGTTACTTAACGTGCTGCTGGAGCTGTGTCTTGTTAACATCTTTCCTGTAGCCCACTGCTGACTGCTTTGGTGCTTGAGCGCAGCAAAT